ACTTGATGATCTTTAAGATCCCTTCCAACCCAAACCGTTCTATGATAAGTTTCTATATGAATCGTGAGTGAAACGAATGGGATGGATCATCCTGAAGGTGAAGAGGCTGAAAGGGTTGTCAAGTCTTGGAAGAGGCTGCCCAGGGCAGTGGTGGAGTCCCCATCCCTGGAGGTAGACGTGGTGCTGAGGGACATGGCTCAGTGATGGGTTTGTCAGCATTGGGTTGATGGTTGGACTTGATGATCTTAAAGGTCCCTTCCAACTGAGAAAATTCTATGATTCTAAGAGATCCCGACCATTTGTGTTGGTTGTCGGAGGGCAGGGACAGAGGCTGGGTCTGCTGTTCTCTTTGCTCCCTGCAGGTTGGATTCCTTATTCCTGGAAAACTCCTGGTAACTATTGTCCAATGCCTATTCCATACGTGCGTTTGTCCTGACGTCATTTACCAGCCTTATACACCAGAAGGGTCAATTCACTGCCTTTGTGTTCATGCAGAAGCAGCTCCTGATGGCTTCTAGCACCTGGGTCCCAGCCCACAGTGGTTTTGGATGGGTGGCTGATGAGATCTGCCCCCTCTCCCACTCCCTGGCCCTCATCGTCTCCAAGCCCCGTGGCTACAGACCCTCCTGGCCATTCCATCCTCCTCGTTACTCCTGTCCTGCTGTTTGTGATTTGGCACCACTCTTCACCCTGGTTGTTGGGGAATGATTGTCCGTGCCTGGCAGCCTTAAGTCCTCAATACCACGGTTTGACGCCTCTGCCTACATCCAACTGGTGACCAAATGTATCTGCCAGTGGGATGAGCAGGTTTTCCAGGTTTTAGGTGATTTATGGCTTCTCCTGGCTTGGGGTCATGTAGCCTTTGAGCATTCAGCTTGGTGGCAGTGCCTGCCACGGACTTGTTTAAGGGCCATGGGAACCTTTCCCTGACCCTTCCCAGTTGCTGGGACGGGGTGACCACCCGCAGCCCATGGTGGCAAGGCACCATGCCGGCTGGATTTGCATCCTGACATTATCAGAAACAGCAAGAGCAAAGGTTAGAGAGGAGGGACGTAGCATGAAGACAGCTGGACCTGCACGTACCACGCTGCCCACGCAAACGCACTTTTATTATTGCCTCTTTTCTTTTGCACCTGGGAAGGCTGGGGAGGGACAGGGGTGAGAAATATTGAAGGGGATGGAAAAACGTGCAAGGAAAAGAAGCTCTGAAGTGTGGCTCTGCGGTGGAAAAGAGTACAGCGTGGACTGAAGCAGTTGGTGCAGGAGAAAACACAGCTTAGATACAATTCATCCATGCAAACGTGACTTTCCTCACTTTCTTACTTTCTTGGGAAGCTTTTTCCTCAACTAAACTCTAAAACTGACTTCTCTGCAGTTGACACTTCTTCCCATGGTTCTCGTGAGCCTGTGGGAGAGGTTTCAGTCCTGCAGAGGTTTCTGTCCTTGTGTTGTGCGTACAAATTGTGTCCTGCTCTAGTGGAGGTGTCCCTGCCATGGCAGGGGGGTTGGAACTCGATGATCTTTGAGGTCCTTTCCAACCCAAACCATTCTATGAGTCTATGAAATGTGGGGGGAAAAATGGACCCTTGGGGAACGAGGGAGGAGGAATGATCCAACACAGCAGCAGAGAAATAGCGTTTGCAGTCCAAGGCGCTCGGTGCCTATCTAGGCAATGGTTTGCTTTTGCACCGCAAACAAATATTCCACTATATTTTTTTTTTTTTTTTGGTGTGTGTGGTTATAAATCCATACCTTTGGTCTGAAGAACTGCCATCCTCCCTAGGTGTGACATGGCGAGCCACGTGACTGCCTGGAATCGGGTCTGGTTATCAGGGCTCAATCGCCACGGCAAATAAAGGAGAAACAATAATTGCAGGCTCCGCTGCCTCCTGGGCAAAGCTCACGCAAGGTGCCACCGAGCTGGGCAACCCAGAGCCAAGGGCTCCCTCGGACAGCCTGGGGCTGAGCCCCACTCACTCACGGGTTGCTGCTAATGAGCCATTAAATGATGAGCAATGTGCTGAGAGGGCCACTGGGGATGAAGTTAACTGTTCCCTTCTAATTACAGAAGGGCATTTTTAACGAGCTGTTTGGACAAAGATCTGGGGGGAAAAGCAATGACTCCTTATTTATGGGTCAAGGATTTTCACTAGGAAAAGTGTTGGTTGAGAGGTGGGTGATACCCCCAGCCTCCCCCAAGCCTCAACTCTCTGGTGGCAGGACCCCAGGTCTCCTGCTGCCTCTGGGCAGATGCTGCAGCAGCAAAATCTCTGCCGGAGCCACCATGGGGCTCTCCAGGGCTCAGGCTGGGGGGCTGTTTTGAGGCTGTGGTGTTATTTTCAGGAGGTTTTGTCCTGTTGACAACCTAAAGCTCTAAAAGTAAATGAGGAGAATCTGGGATTTTGTTCTGAAGTGGTTTCGGGGTTTGCAGGCACGCTGCAGGCGGTGATGGTGTGAGCCTGGTGATGGAGCCTGCAGCATCAGCCCCATTCCTGTCCCAAAAGACCACTGATGGTACCAGGACTTCTTTAGTTTTCCACCACAGAGAGATGATCTCTCTTTGTTTTGTCAACAGTTGCGTGGCCTCCAGGTCTTTCTCACTGTCATGCAAAGTTCATAGCACAAGAAAGAAGCTTGTCCTTCAAGCCCTGCCCAAAAAGACTCTCCTTTTATTGCTTTGTCTGGGTTTGGCAGGGGTGAGCTCTTTCCAATGACCTGCTCTCCTGGCACAGAATTGCTTCCCAGCTGAAGGTAACTGCGCATCTTAAAGGTGACAACAACCCTTGCTCCAGCACATGGAAGCCAGCCATAGTTTATAAAGAACTTGATTAGGATAGGCAAGTTGAGAAGAACCCAGTGTCAAGGTTTTAAAACTCTTTTCATCTCAGGAGGTTTCTCCTGAAGAGCTCATGATGCTCCTCTGGGTGCAAGCGCCCTAAAGGCTCCTTAGTTAGCACTGGAAGAAGAAGTGGCTCTTCTACAGATGCCACCTGCCCTGGGGGTGATGGAGGAGCCAGGGAGGTGTCAACCCAGCACCGGTGGCTTCGCTTCATCACTTGCAGCCCCCCTGAGCTGCAGAGCACGATTCCACTGGCCCTTCTCCCCCTCCCAAACTATTCAAACCAACAAAATACTTTGAACTCGGCAGTTGTTCACCCAGAGAGGTGACAGGGTGGATGAATTCCACCCAGTCATGTGATTTCACCACTTTTCACTGGGAAAACACCCAAGGTGAGGTCGGTCGGTCACGCAGGTACCTTGAGAGGTGATGAAGGGAGGCATCTCCTCTGTCCCCATAAAATCACACTCGGGGAGCACGTCTGTGGCCCCTGGGTGTGGGGCACAACCTGCTGTTTTCTTCTGCCCTCAAATCTCCGCCAAACCTTTTATCTGTGGAAATTAGGTGCTGGTTTTTTTGTTGTTTGGAGTTGGTTTGTTTATTTGTGTATTTTTACTTTTTTTTTAATCTGAGCATAAATGTGAAAAACTTTTAAAGCTCTTCTAAACGCATGAATGGGCAAATTAACCTCTCTTTTATTTTTAGCATTGTTTGCATCATAGAAAGTTTTCCCTCTCTCTCCCATGCCTTCCCCTCCCCTGTGTGTGACAAAATTGAAGCAGTTCTTAAAAAAAAAAACAAACCCACCCAATTTCCTCTGGTGATGCTGATGACACCGAGATGCTGTCCCTTCCTGGGCAGACACAGGTGGCTCTAGGTCCAGCAGCCCCGTGCTCTTTCCCCAGCAGCAGCTGCAAAAGTGGATTTGGTGGGTGATTTCTTGGCACAAAACCTTCCTGCCCCATACCCTCGTGGGGTGGCTGTGTGGGGTTTTAGGTGGGTGTGATCCTGGGCAGCCCTGGTACCCGGGGGGGTTCCTGGCTGGATGGATCCCCTCCTGGGAGGTGGATCATGGGGTCAGGTACCCTGCTGGGGAGTGTGCCCATGGCAGGGGGGTACAGCAAGGCCATCACTGCCACCCACATAGAGCCAGGACAGGGATTGGGGTTGTAGGGAGCTGCTCTCTGCCTGGTGCCACCTGGATGGGTGCTGCCTGCTTTGGGTTGCCCCCGAGATTGGGCCAGTTAATGACTAACAGGAGCTGCAGGAGCCCTGCCCAGCCTCTCCCTCCTTCCACCTTGCTCTCCTGTAGCCAAACCTTGGAGCTCTGCTGGATTTGAGCCCCCATCACCACCTGCTTCCTACTTTTTCCTGCACTTACTTGTTCTTATATATTTTTTTCCCCTTCTTCCCTGGGTAAACCCCACATCTGTCCCCCTGAGTCGCAGCAGAGCCTGTGCCAAAGGCAGTAGGAAATGTCTGCTTTGTCCCTCTGGGCTGGGTCTTCCTCTCCTGCAGCCTGATTTTCTCCCTGGTCCTCCCTCGCCCTTGCTCCCTGAGTGAAGTTATTCCCCAAAGGCTTTGTTCCACGTCCAGGGGGTTTCCAGGCAGGGACAGACGTGGGTGGCCACAATTGCATCAGCCCCACTTGTCTCCCATCTCCCACCCCAGACCTTTCCAGCCTCAAAGCCTGGCAAAGGAATAAAATGCACAGGGGAAAACCAGCTTGTTTTCCCCTTGCACGTGCTTTTCTTTTAGGCAAACCCCTAAATTATTATTTAAGTTATTTAGCAAGGGGTTTACTGGTCATTTTCTTATCACAGAAGCTGACAGGGAGATCCCCAGTAGTGATTTGGTGCATATTTTTAATAGCACAGGCTATAACCTTGTTTTATAGCCTCTAATGTCAAGTCTGACCATCACAGCTGATGGCAGATATAAAGAGAGAGGACCTGGACAAGCAGGATTCTACCCATTAGCACTAGGGAGAGGTGGGGGTGGGAAATAGGAGCAAACTCTCCTAAATTCCCTCTGCTTCCATGACTCATCAAAAAAACAACCAAAACCCAACCCTCCCCACTGTCAAGAGCGCAGCTGTTTGGGTACGTTCAAGGGACTCTGGAACGCAACCTCGGAGGTCTCCCATGAGAACAAGTAAACATGTCATATATAAAACATTTTTATTAAAACAAATATACACCACTTTATATACAAAAATAAAATGTACAAGAAAAATATTCTGTTACAGCTTAGTGATTCGATTCTTACTGTACTACACACAAAACTAGAACCTCCTCCATCCTGCACTCCTGCTCGGACCGGCCCGGGGGGGATGCCAGGGGGTGATGCAGGGGGCTGCATACAGTACTGTGGGGGTCCTGGCAGAGTGCTGGATGGGCCCTCCAAAGGCACGGCATAAATAAAGAGTTCTGCCCCTGTTCAGTGCAAAAAAAATTGTTCTATGTGGCAGCTCTTCAACTCTTGCACGGCCACAGCCACGGCATGCCTACCAGCAGGTAACGTCCCACGCGTGGACCGGGATAAGTGTACTATGTAGAAGCAAAGCCTAAAACTGAATTTTTCACATTTTTTTTTACTGGTCTAAGTAGTATTTACAGAGTTCTGAAAGATCTGAAAAGGTGAACTACGTGATGCGGCAAAATCAAGGACGAGAGGGCCAATTAGTGCAATTTCTCTGGCTAAGTGTAATGACAGTCGACAAGCTTCTATGTCCCCAGTGTCGCACAGGTAAGCAGCAACCAAAAAAAACTAACAGGTAAGAGACTCCTCTGCAGCATCTCTCCTCAGCACCCCGTGGGTAAAGTGCTCATCACATCTCACACCGGGGGGAGGCCGGTACCCTCGGCCCCCATCCCCCAGCACACACACACCTTCCCCCCCAAGTCCCACGGCACATCGGGAACCTTCCAGAAAAAGCTTCACCTCCAAAACCACCTGAGGCTGAGCATCCTCCAGGCCAGGACTCCTCATCATGAGATGGGAATCCTGGGGTGGGTTGTTTTTTTCCTGAAACATTTATCATGGAGTTTTCCCCTCGCTACCCTCTTCAGGCCTTAAAAAGTTAAAAACGGAATATAAAAGCTACTTTCTTCCTTCAGTCAGTAACAAAACAAATTTCTTCCATTTTCTTCAGGCTGGTCAAAGTTTCTACCCGAGAGCAGTTCGTGGTGGGGGGAAGCCAAGGGGGTTTACAAGCTGCAGGGAATGACTTGCATGGTAGGTCTCACTGTGTCCAGCCAGGAGAAGTCCAGGACAGTTTTCTGGTCAAAGAACCTGAGCTCCATGTCTCCTAGAGAAAATAAGGCAAGAATGGAGCATTTAATCACATGCAGCAGGAGCAAAATAGTGTACACATGCATGTGTATTTGTATGTGTGTGTGTATATATATATAAAAATATATCAAAAAATTGAGATATTTCTCAGATGTAAATACTTTAGCCCAATATTTTGCTGAAATTCTCTAAATACTCTCCACTAAACTATGCGGTCCTGAGGAATATGGTGTAGGGGAGGACTTTGTAGAGTAGGGTTGATGGTTGGACTCGATGATCCCAAGGGTCTCTTCCAACCTGAATGATTCTATGATTCTATGCAATTTCCATTTTTGCTAATGGAAATACTTCAGTTCTATTGCCAGGAGCTGCTGAAAGCTGGCGTGACTTCCCGGTGTGTAACGCTAACCTGTACTATACTCTTCCTGAAGGCATTTTTCCTCCTTTTCCTTTTTATCAACCAACTCCTCACCAGCCTTCTGACAGCCTGCGTGGAAACCTCACACCACCAGGGTACGTGAATCCCTCCCTCCCTCCCAATTAGTGTCTGGCACCAAAACCCTCGTCCGTGTCACCCCGTGTCCCCGAGCCCCAGCCAGAGGGGCCCGTACCTGAGGTGGTGTCGATCTCCCCGTCCTGCTCCTTGTAGCTGTAGGTGCCCATGGTCTGGGTGCCCGGCTCGTTGGTGAGGAAGCCTTTGCCCCCCACGCTGGTGGTGTGCCAGTCCTGCGTGGGCTCTAGCAGCTATAAAAGAGGAATAAGGAGATGGTAGAAATTGCTCCTTCTGCCCCTGGGTGCAGCATTTTATTCCTTTCTCTTCATTAGAAGACAGGTAAGCAAAAAAAGATCAAATTATATCTTCTCTTGGTAAACTATACAAACTTGGTTTACTCCCAGTTTAAAAAAAAAATATTTAATGCAAAACAGGGAGGGCTGGAGCACCCTCAGTGATGAAACCCCCATCTTATCAGTGGGATAAGGGTGACACGTCTGGAAAAAACAGATTAAGGGCCACCCGTGTCAGAGGTGGAGGGAAGGGCCACCTAAAGTGTGGAGAACCCCTGCAGGCTCCGATACCTTCACTTCTAGCAGCTTTCTTTGGCTTTCACAGGCAGAGCAAATATTTCCATGGATGTGTCACCTCCAAATCACGTTTGTGAAATAGCCTTCCCTTTATATATTTAATTTCTTAGGCTTCCTCACTAATTAAGGGCCTGGGATTACATAAAAGTATGTTCAGTTTCTATAGGACTGGGTCTGACAGCTACTTCCCTTCCTCCCTTGCTGCAAACAGCAACTTTGGGCAACTTTTTTTCAGACCATAAGGGCTAGTTTTACCTTTAAAATGTCTGGAGCAATTTCCTCTTCATCTTCGTCGGTGACTGCTTTGTAAGCAAAGGCAACAAAAAAAAAAAAAAAAAAAAAAAGAGATGTAGATGTCAACTTTTTTGCACGTTAGCCCTCACACTTCTGCTTCTTCACCGCACAACCCACTTCACACTCTCTTGTCACACAACATCCCTGCCTTTTACTGTCCCCCTCCCCACAGAGGACACCAAGGAGGGGCTCATGGGTTTGATGTGGGGAGGTCCATCAGCCATCCCTTCATCAGCTGCCCATTGGGGTGCATGGCCCCAGCCAGCTCTGAGGCCCCCCCAGGTGTCACCAAGCAGAGCCCGCTTGGAGGAAGATGACTTGCACCCCAATTAAGAATCACTCTGCTATACCCATGTTAATTATTCTTTTGTCCCGTTGGGAAGCATGGTTTACTCTGCTGTCACTGCTGTGCTCAACTCTGTCCTGCTTCTGGCATGGCCTCAGGAACCCCCAGTCCCACCCTCCTGGCTCACAAATCTCTCCTCTTCTTCACAGGCTGACCCATCTGGGCCACCATGTTGGCCCTGCGAGACAAAGCCTGTCCCTTGGCCCACACATGCCAAGCAAGTGGCATTTCAGGGACCTTCCACCCATGAGCAGCTCCTTCTGCAGGTGGTATGTGCCCTTCTGTAACCTGGCTGGTTTGGCAGCTCTAGACACCCAAATCCATCAGGTGGAGGTTGGGTTTCTTTCCACAAGACAACTCTTGCCTCTCCTGGTCCCCATGGCGCTCCTTCATCCTGCTGCCTTGCCTCCATGAAAGACCAAGGTAGGATCAAAGAAATACCCACCTTCTGAGGACGAAGCCAGGGGGGACACCTGGAGCGGGTAGAGGTCGTTGGTGCTGTCAGCCATGGTGATCTCCATCGGCGGCCTCCAGTCAGTCAGGGAGTTGCTCACCTCACAGCAGGAGAGGCCTGTGGGACACACCAGGAGGAGTTGACACACACCAGGAGAAGACAACCACTTCTTACTTCATCCCTGCTGGTCTGACGGTGCAGCCAGGCCCAGCCCCAAGAGTCACCTTTGCCTTTTGGCACCGAGATGGTGGGTTTAGCACGAGCGGCGCTTCCCCCTCTGCTCAGAGAGCTACAGGCCCAGTCTCACCTAAAGCGATGGGCGCGCTCTCAACCTCCACTTCCTTCCCCGCGTAGTCGTGCGCGGTGTAGCCGCTGTGGTCATCGGGCAGAGGAGTGTTGGTTAGCCTTTCTGCTGCCTCCTCCGTCCTCATGTCTTCGTACGGCTACGAAAATAAGGGCGAAGAATGAGAGACTTCTAAGAACTCGCAAGTTCCCGTATGAAAAAGAATAATAAATAGAAGCATGAAAACCACCCAACCCACCAGCTCCGTCAGCCGCCTCTACAGACACATACCTTTCTCTTGCTCCTGTTTCTTGCTTCTCTTGAAGACTTTGACTTCCTTTCTGTAAAATAAAAATAATATGAAGGTGAGAAAGGGCTGCAGGGCTGACATTTCAGGCGAGCCTGAGCTCTTGTGGCTTTGAGCCCTGCTCAGCAAGCAGCGAGTCCCCATCTCTGCCTGACGATGCCTTCTTTAGAAGAATTTGGGCTAAAATGAGCCATTTGTAGTAACTGTTACCCAGGGCGATAACCAGTGACTAACCCCAGTAGCACCAGTGCTACCAGCAGCTCTGTTATTGCCCTGTCTAGGCAGAGCAGGGAATTTAAGTGGTGTTTAAGTGGAAGCTGGGTAGCCCCAGCTGGATTGCTGAAGTCTTACCCTTCTTCTGGTCCTTCGTCAGGGGTGGCAGCATCCTGTAAACCCTGACAGCACTGGAGCCTTTGTTGATGCTTTTATCCTTCACTTCTTCGATGTCAGGCAGGGAATTCATCGCACAGCGGAAGTTGGCCTTCCAGGTTTTCGGGTCAGGGTTTTTCTCACCCATTTTGTATCTTCCTATAAATAAGAAATGGGGTGAGTGTTTAGATTTTTTCCATGCTAGATCTTCCCACAAAAATAGAAATTTAATTTCTATTTTTCTCTGATCTATACAGCAGCTACCCAAGTCAAGAGAAAAGAACACGTTTCCATCAGTCAGAGCAGCAGCTCAGACAAGGTGAAGCCAACACACACCTGTATGAATGGCCCAGCTCCGGAAGAGGCAGGCATCTTTCTCCATGTCCCAGCCGTGCTTAGCTGCATGTTTCCACGGGATCTGAAACATCATCTTATCCTGAAGTTCAACCAATGGAGATGTGAATTGAAAAAGAAGAATTAGATGCCAGTTTGGAACGACAGCTTTAATCAAAAGAATTCTCAGCAGCAGCTCAGAAACTTTACCAACTCTCTGCCCTGTGTCTTAATTAAGCATCCATTGGTCCATCTATTTTGCCCAATGCATACAAAGCTTTTTAAGAATTCTGAAACTGGGAAAGCCACATGTGGTATGGTACAGTAGAAGTAAGCAATATTGCCAATTTTATCCCAGAATTGTTTAAATACATTGCATCTCATCTATTACTATATCATCAACTTAGTGTATCAAAAATATATCCATATTTTCCAGGTACACTTTGGGAGAGAATCAGTTTTTAAAGTTACCCATAAGATCCTGCAGGAATCCTAAGAAGAACAAGTCCTAGCTTACATGTCCTCTTGGGACGGATATGGGAGCCTCAGAGAAAGAGACCTGGTTCAATGGGCCCAGAGATCTCACCCGGGGCTACAGGTACAGGGATGTGTCATCCAGAGCAAAGGGAGACAAATCCAGGCCAAATCTTGAAACTGGGAGCAACTGGGAGCCTAACAGCAGCTACTCAGGAGGTGACTTGGCTCAAATGCGCAGCAGGAGTTAAAAGAGATCTTGGAGTTCTCTAGGTTCTCCACCGTGTTCAGATTGCATTTAATTTATTCTTTCCCAAGGAAAAGAATGGAGGTACTGCATTCTGTACCAACCAGAGCCACCTTTCCTGAAACCAAAGCCAGCTGCTTTTTTAAACATAATGTTTGCAGGTTTTCTTCACGTTATTTCTTTCCTTCATGATCTTGACTCATATTTAGTGTCCTCTAAGAACAAGAGCCACCAACGATACAGAAGCAATACCAATAATGATGTTACCCATAACAGTAACAAACAGCCCTCACCTTGTTAATCCATACCAGGCCTGGTATTTTATTGGAATTAATCTGCATTTCCAACCAGGGCCTCATGCGCATTCTTGACACCGGCATTTTGTCACCTATCAAAGAAATAACAGGTCAGCAAAAACCTCATCACTACTTTAACACACACACCCCCCCCCCAGCAATGCCACCCCCT